CATAAAGTCTTCGTTGTTGTAATCGTTGCATACACTTAGCTAGATCAGTGAAACTGAAACTTGAGTATTTAATATGACATCTTTAATAACTTGTTTTTTTCTTCTTCCTGTGTACTCGCAGAACCAAAATTGCTTCAAAGCTTGAGATTGAGCTTAGTTCTAATCGTATTTGTATGCACTGTACGCGCGAAGCTCTCTGTTTTCACTTTCCTCCTGCATGAGCCTCGGCTATGGAGATTTCGCCAATCACAACAATCGTCTACTTACCTTACTCAATGTTTGCAGAAAAGCTCCTTCCTTTTCAAGGACCAAAGCTCTTCACGCATTCTCCATCACTTTATCCTCTTTCCTTCATCAGCCCGTTTTTGTCAGCAACAACATCATCAATCTTTATGCAAAGCTTGGCGAGGTTTCCTCTGCAGCCAAAGTGTTTGATAAAATGCCTGAGAGAAACACAGCTTCCTTCAACTCGATCATTAGTGGGTATAGCAAATGCGGTTATGCGGAGGAAGCATTGGGTGTATTCTCTGAGATGAGGCATTTTGGATATTTGCCGAATCAGTTATCAGTGGGTGGTTTATTGTCCTGTGCATCGTTGGATGTTTGTACTGGACTTCAGTTGCACGGATTGAGCTTCAAGTATGGCTTGTTTGTGGCTGATGCATTTGTTGGTACTGGTTTGCTGTGTTTGTATGGGAGGCTTGAGTTGCTGGGAATGGCAGAACGGATTTTCGAAGATATGCCGTTGAAGAGCTTGGAAACATGGAACCATATGATGTCGTTGTTGGGTAAGTGTGGTTTTCTCAAAGAATGCATGTTTCTCTTCCGTGAGCTTGTTAGGATGGGAGCTTGTTTATCTAAATGCTCTTTCTTGGGTGTACTGTCGGATATATCTTGTGAAAATGACATGGAAATTAGCAAACAATTGCATTGCTCATCAATGAAAAAAGGTTTAGATTGCGAAATTTTCATCGTTAACTCTCTCATCAGCGCATATGGAAGATGTGGCAACACACATATGGCAGAGAGAGTGTTTGAGGAGGCAACTTCTTGTGACATAGTGTCGTGGAACGCCATAATTGGTGCAACAGCCAGAAGTGAAAACCCTTTGAGAGCACTGAAACACTTTGTAAGCATGTCAGAGCATGGGTTTTCCCCAAACCAAGGTACATACGTTAGTGTTCTTAGTGCCTCTTCTCATATGCATATATTGAGTTTTGGACGCCAAATTCATGGGTTGCTTATCAAGAATGGCTGCGAAACTGACATATTTGTGGGGAATGCATTGATTGACTTCTATGCTAAATGTGATAGTCTTGAAGATTCTCGCCTATGCTTTGATACTATATGCGATAAGAACATTGTTTCTTGGAATGCACTGCTTTGGGGTTATGCTAATAAAGATGCTCCCACTTGTCTCTCTTTTTTTCTTCAAATGCTTCAGATGGGTTTCAGGCCAAATGAGTTTACTCTTTCGACAGCCCTCAAATCTTGTTGTGTCAGAGAGTTACAACAGCTGCACTCTGTTATTGTGAGAATGGGCTATGAAGATAATGACTATGTGTTAAGCTCTCTTATGAGATCCTATGCCAAGAATCAACTGATGAGTGATGCTCTTCTTCTGCTGGATTGGTCGAGCGGGCCTTATTCTGTCGTCCCATTGAACATTGTCGCGGGAATATATAGCAGAACAGGCGAGTACCATGCATCGGTGAAGCTGATTTCGACACTAGAACAACCCGACACTGTATCTTGGAACATTGCAATTGCAGCCTGCTCTCGTTCTGATAACCACAAAGAAGTTATCGAACTTTTCAAACACATGCTTCAATCAAACATCCGACCTGATAATTACACATACGTTAGTATCTTAAGTATGTGCTCTAAGTTCTGCGACTTTACGCTTGGTAGTTCTGTTCACGGTGTAATCACCAAAACAGATTTCAGCCTCGTTGACACATTTGTTTGCAACGTATTGATTGACATGTATGGGAAATGCGGAAGCATTACAAGTGTTATCAAAGTCTTTGAAGAAACAAGAGAGAAGAACCTCATTACATGGACGGCATTGATTTCGTCTCTTGGCATCCATGGATATGGACATGACGCATTTGAAAAGTTCAAGGAAATGCTATCTCTGGGTTTTAAGCCAGACCGTGTCTCTTTCATCTCTATGCTAACTGCTTGCAGACATGGTGGTATGGTAAAAGAAGGAATTGAGTTGTTTCAGAAAATGAAGGATTATGGAGTTGAACCAGAAATGGATCATTATCGTTGTGCCGTTGATCTTTTGGCGAGAAACGGTTACTTAAAGGAAGCTGAGCAGCTAATTTGTGGAATGCCTTTCCCTGCAGACGCGCCTGTATGGCGTACGTTTCTTGATGGTTGCAATAGATTTGCAGAAGAACAGAGAAGCACTCTCAATTTCGACTATGTTCAAGCAAGTAAAATTTCAGTTGCTGAAGTGTGAATTTTGATTTGATTGATTTCTCTCTCGTTCTTTTCATCCTGCAAAGTTCATACCTCTTTTGTATGATAAAATGAAAAACTTCAAAGTCTTGTCTTTTTCAATTGTACAGAAGATGAGGTCTCTCAGTAGCAAACAATCCAAACTTTGATCAGTCACATTACTTATAAAACGATGCTTTGTGTATTTTATGGTTAAATCAACCAGCGGCTTGGAAATCTCCGAAGTCATCATCTGGTGCATCTTCGACGC